ACATGATGGGCGACTATTGCTGGACACTGCAACGAGAAGAGAGCAAGCTGTACAAGAGAAAGAGTAAAGTTCAGAAGCACTTTTAGAACTTCATATTTTGTCATTATAAAGGATTTGAACTTATGTTTTTTGGTACAATTTTTTATGAGCTTATCTGTGATAGGTTTAAAATTGTATCTTGCATGACGCGATAATGTTACTATATTTACTATTTTTTTTATTCTTTAAGAAAGTAGGTCTGATGGTAGAATGAAACATCCAATTAATATTCATTAATATGAAATTAGTCATGAAAGCACAGTCACATGAGATAATCTCATCTTTTGCACGACACGTGATGGAATATTAAATATTTGTACCTATTGATTTTTTTATAAAACCTGGTCTGATAGAACAAAACAAATATCAGATTCGAATTCAGCAATATGAAATTAGTTGTGTGAGCATGATCTCATATGTGAACCATTTTGGCTGTTGACCAGTGTTATCAATTTCATCGTACAGTATTCTGGCCAGTAAATGTGTGCAAGTTTTACTCCCTCCTGCAACATAATAATTCTGAACCCAGTTACTGATCAACAAAATGACCAATGCCTGACCTCCACGAGTGAAACAAAGTCAAAATGGATTTTGTCATTTCCAGGAAGATGGCCACATTGAGATATCTGGCTGCCAAATAATGTTAGTTATTTAATCAAATCTCTCTCCGGTTCAATAATCAACAGGTGATTCAGCTCAAATTTCATCAAAGAACTAATCAATAAGAAAGTTGTTGGTGTACCACATATGGTACTCAGGTGTAGTACTGTACTCAACTATTACATCGCAAAAAACTTTGTATATACTGTACAGTACTTGTATACAGCATACTGCATGTCAAAAAAAAAAATTACAGTATATACAATTTTGTTTAGGATTCTGTGCAAGTTCATTAAAAATTCTGAGACCAATTCTATATATAAATTACAGGTATTCATTGCTTTAATACTGTACTATTACAATGACTTATCATTTAAAGAAAACTGCCAATAACACAAGTACAAGAGCTATATAATCTGAACTGTTATAAATATATACCAGTGGTTCTCAACCTGGGGGCCATGGACCCCAAGGGAGCCACGGCAAGAACTTAGGGAAGCCACGGAGAGCTGTTATAAATTGTACGTTTCCAAATAATGTTGGGAATCTGAATTAAACAAAACTTGTATTACTTATTTTGACTTGGCAGAAGAGAATTTTCATTCTTTTTTTGTCATTGTGTTTAATCATAACGACAATACAATTTTAATATTTACATACTCTGGTGCTATTTAATTTTTTACGGATTATTTAAGATTTCACACGTCCAGTCCCTGTCTGTGTGACAGGCGGTGGACCGAGCTGCTGAACTGACTTGTTCAGTACGTGTCCGTGTGTCATCCCTTTGCAAGTGGTGATAGGACCGAATGATCTCAGTATGGCCTGGGATACCATCACGAAAACAGTGGAGTGTATTGTCTCTGAACCATATATTGTGTTTCAGCTTGACTCAAGCATAATATACTCCGAAATTGGTGTTACTTATTTTGTTTCATAATTCATGTGGTCGCTGCGTTATGTGGGTGAAATATTTGTACACTTCCTTTATTAATTATTTTCTTATTTATTGGTGCCATTGTTGTTCATACTCATTCTTTACTTATATAATCCCACCATTTTTAGTGCTAAATTGGTATGACTCACTATTATTCTCATTCTTCCAAGTTGGGCAGTGCTTGTCAAAGGAGGCGTGTTCTTGCTTACAGGAAGTACACCAGCTTGCTAGCTTGAGTGTGAATGTTTACCTGTGTGCATGTCTGTGTATGACTGTATGTGTGCTTTATGTGTGAGTGCATGGGCGTATTATGCATGTGAATGTGTGTGTGTGTTTGCCATTCTAACTCTTGTCCTATTTATCTGTCCTTCTTTATCATTCTTTAGTCTTTATCACTTGTATGTTTGTCTGTTCTGGGAGAAAAATGAAGAAGGCCACGAGGATGTTGAAAATTCCTCAAGGGGGGAATGGAGTGAAAAAGGTCGAGAACCACTGATATATTCAGTACCGTATCTCTACAGTATAAATAAAGCCAAACCTTATTTACACAAACAAACCTAATAAAAAATCCTAGCTTAAGTGCAGCTTAATAATTATAATATATGCATCTGGTAAAGACTATCTTACAGTTCAGCCTGAGAACAAAATAAAGGAGCCTCAAGGTGGTAAACATCAATCTTTACCAGATCAATTAAATACATTTATTAAACCAAACAATAATAGCCCTTGATAGGTAATGTTGGCTGAGAAATACAGTACGTACTTATGTATAGCATTTACAATAGTGTTACACTCAAACTTGAAATATGAAAATTCCAAGCAACTGTACAATACTTATCAAATATTGTATAATTACACTTATCCTAATTTACACTATTTAATGTTAAATTTTCTTGTGCAAAGAATTTTGAATAATCTGTTAAAATGAATTAACTGGAACATTTTTACCAATAGGACTAAACCTGCAACTTGAGTCTATGATCTGATAACTTTTGTGCATTTATATTAGCAGCTGCTTATCCAAAGTTTACTTAATGATTATATTAACAAAGCGCAAGTTCAAAGAGAGCCGTAACATTTCTTGATTTTGGAATGGTCACTCACCTGACACCCATAAACTCAGTGAAAAGTACATGGCAAGCTCAGAACTATACTGTATATACAGTATAAAATATTAATAATAAAAAAAAAGTATCTGTAATAGATGTATAATTCACATATCTCCTATCTCATGTTTGATGTCGCCTCCCACCCCCAGTGACGGCACATACAGTCCCTACCCATCTTGCCCAACTCCTCAGTGTTAAAGCCCATCACATTAACAAACTTCCATCAACCCTTGTCATAACATGAACAGAACTCTCTAATTCTATTCATACGGTATATACCTTATTACAGCACTACACAGGACCACCATTCAACACCTATTTCAGTATCAGTAATTCAACAATACCAACGTTTTCCTTTACTTCCCCATCAGATTTACATTCTATGAATCTTAAGCAATACAGTATATCAAAGACCATGATACATTAGTTTAAAAAAAAAAAGGGGGGGGGGGGGCAATCCATTCTTTAAGCTTTATAATAATAACCCAACATTAATTGGGTTAGGTTGGCTTGTGTTAATTACTGTACTTTCATAAATGATTTAGCCCTGTTGGCAGACACCATCATATGACATATAACATGTGCCATATAGACAATGAAACATGATTTCATATCATTTTTCCTTCCACCACAACTGGATTTACATTCTATGCATTAAAATATAAATAGTAAAGATTGTGTTAAAAAGTATTGCATCTATAAATAATGTGGCGACCTCACCTCCACCCATATCATTTTGCATGTAATATTTTTTTTCTAAAATAAAAAATATTTATAATTTTTCAATCAGAACTGATTATCATAACTTATTGCCTGTTATAATAATGAATGAAACTGTCAAGGTAGTTACACCTACAGGTTCATTAGTCAGGTCTCTAGAAGAAAAATTATAGAAAACTTGACTTTATTAAACTTATGATCCTGAACCTTGCCAAACATAAGTGCCTCTCACTCACCTTATTTACATACTCTGTACTGTATTGTAACTCTAATAATTAAAACAAAATTAACTGAGCCAGTAAATGTTCTCCAAGACCAGTGCCAAAACAAAAACTTAAATTTACATTATTTTCATCAAGCCACTGATTCATCATGTGCTTGCTTGCTTACTTTATTAATTCAGAAGTTTCATTCTTAAACATTTAAAAAATTCACCTTGATTTTGAAAAGTGACTCATCACCCCTACAAATACCATTAAATCTCAAATGTTCTCTTGGGGGACAGCATCCTAGAGCTAATAACAGAAAATGCTGTCAAACCTGGCCTTTAGGCCAGAGCTTGGTGAAACTTTTGACTAAAGAGATGCATTTAAGGCCCCCTGCTGAGCGCTGATGGCAGCTGAGGCATAAGAATGGAAATGGTGCACGCTTACACTGAGTTACATGGAAGTTCTAAGTGAAGCAACTTTGTCCAAAATCACAAACAGTACTAACTATAATGCCCTGGCATTTATACAATAATATTACTCGCAGGGAGTATTAACACTAAAATTTACTTTGCTCATATCTATACATAATGCAAAGAGGCCAGACTAGGGTGTGCTTGGTACTCTTAACCACAAACTTGGTCAAAATGGTCATGCCCAAAAAGTGGTTCAGGGTTTGGTGGTTCAAGCAACTGTCAATAATGCTCAACCAACAGTTATTGTAACCAAACAACTACAGGGGTTCTGGGCCAGCTGAGGTGATTCGTGATGGCATCACTTGAGGAGCATTTTGGCCACAAAACTGATCATAACACTGTGGAACAATGACCAGCAGCATTAACCAAGGTCACAGCCAAGACCACCACAACACACCCCAAATCCTCAAATCCAAATATGCATTTAATGAACATTTAAAAATTTAAAATAATAACTAATTACTTTTATAGTGACAAAAACAACCAACTGAAATTATTAACATCAGCAGCACCTCAGTCAAAACCTGAAGTTAGAATAAAATGTTAGATCACTCAAGGCTATATTAAATTAGGTTAATGCTAACTTCAGTACCTGACACGAGGAGTCCGTGTTGACTTATCAACTACAGCTGGCTTTAACATTATATCAAATTTTGACAATTAAGATTTATTCCGTGATCCAACTTGGTGCTCATCAATGTTGGCGACCAATCTTGGCAAGTCCTTCATGAGAGGTTCTTCATGCAAAGCATTTCTGATAGCAATTGGAGCTAATGACTTATGGAGAATCCTGAGTTTTGAAGGAAGTCAAGGATGGTTTGTCCTACTTGGGCGTCCTGGCGTTAGGGGAGGCTCTTGACCCCTTAACTTTCTCCACCACCTATAATGACTTAACTTGCAGATGCACTTGACCCACCTGCCATGATTCGTCGTGGCTGCATTGGTCAGGTGCAGCAGCCAGTCTGATATATCACACACAAACAAGGTCACGTCAAGCCTTAGTTCCGTTGTGTCACTGCCCTACTAACAAAACATTCTTCACTTTTTCCTCACTATGGTCTAAGGCTACTTGTACTTTAATGGAGTGGGACTCTTGACGAATACTTACGCTGCCCAACAGGGTACATGAACTCTACAATAGTTGCTAATTTAAGGACGAAACTATGGAAATCTCAGACTTGAAAAGGTTGAAAATGGCGTTCACGACTTCCTGCCCGGAGTAAGACTGAGGTGTTGGTTCCTTTACAGCATCACAATGAGTAAATAAATAAAACAGCGTAGATTTTGTAAGAAAATACAGTAATCTTACACCATAGTTAGTGTCTACTTTTTTACTAAAATATTGGGAAAATTTTCATAAAGAGCTTTTGTTTCGTTGTTATAAGACAACAGCAAAATTATTAATGTTAAAACAAGACCAAGAATATAATCGTTAAATCAAATATTTTTCACAGGATATGGGCAAATCAAACTTACCCTAACCTTTAATTTACCTTATTTTATTTTAATTTCATTAAACATTACCTTCTGATGGTTGCAATATGTATTAAAAAAAAATAAACGCCTTAATCTATTGTTCGTGGTCCTCCCCTAACATTACCGTCGGCGGCGGACAATAGAAGTTCCCAATTTAGAAAAACTGGATTCAAATACTGTAGTTTTCATATTTAACACTAGAAACGAAACTACATTTATCCGATCTAAGTTAAATCACAGATGAAAATGCAGGCGAATCTGATAATTAAATATAATTAGATATATATCGACAAATAGTTTCGGAATACAGTATAAATATGTGAAGCCTTCAGGTTAATGTACCAAGTTGTTTGAAACAGCTGGTACCTGATAATTTGCCAAGTGCAGAGTATAAGCACAGTAATGTTCATGTGGTCACTCTTATTAAAAAAAAGTGGTGCATTATACATGAAAATAAATACAGGCCATTTAAATTCTAGCAACAGAATTGTGTATATTATCTGAAGCATACTGGTTGGTAATTATTAACAGTTGGCCTGAACTAATATTGTGCACTTGTGTATGGATTCTATCTTTATATTGCTTTGTCTCAGGGAAGTGGTTATGCCGAACAGCACCAACCAACTCGGGGGGCTAGTTTATTGGGCACCCCCATGCATCCTGTGAAAGGCGAGGCGGTAAAGCCTCCCCAGGGCCCAACAGGGAAGCATGCAGAGCTCCTGTTTACCTTCTTGACTCGTGCATTTAAGGGCGTAAATGCCGGGAAACCTGCCATGTTTGATAGGGTCACTGGATAATATACTTCTCACATCCTATCCGGGGATGATCCTCGACCACTTGTACTACTCCCTACACAGTACATGTACTGTACAATGTCGTCACCTTGTTTGTTAGATTTCTTCCTGAATATTGTAGTAAAATGTTATAAAAAATTCCTTAGTCAGTGGTAAGATAGTACAATGGTTCTCTGAAAAAAACCTCTTGTGGCTCCCAGTACCGTACACCCTTGGGTCATGAACCACTCTTGTGGCTCCCAGTACTGTACACCCTTGGGTCATGAACCACTCTTGTGGCTCCCAGTACTGTACACCCTTGGGTCATGAACCACTCTTGTGGCTCCCAGTACCGTACACCCTTGGGTCATGAACCACTCTTGTGGCTCCCAGTACTGTACACCCTTGGGTCATGAACCACTCTTGTGGCTCCCAGTACTGTACACCCTTGGGTCATGAACCACTCTTGTGGCTCCCAGTACTGTACACCCTTGGGTCATGAACCACTCTTGTGGCTCCCAGTACTGTACACCCTTGGGTCATGAACCACTCTTGTGGCTCCCAGTACTGTACACCCTTGGGTCATGAACCACTCTTGTGGCTCCCAGTACTGTACACCCTTGGGTCATGAACCACTCTTGTGGCTCCCAGTACTGTACACCCTTGGGTCATGAACCACTCTTGTGGCTCCCAGTACTGTACACCCTTGGGTCATGAACCACTCTTGTGGCTCCCAGTACTGTACACCCTTGGGTCATGAACCACTCTTGTGGCTCCCAGTACTGTACACCCTTGGGTCATGAACCACTCTTGTGGCTCCCAGTACTGTACACCCTTGGGTCATGAACCACTCTTGTGGCTCCCAGTACTGTACACCCTTGGGTCATGAACCACTCTTGTGGCTCCCAGTACTGTACACCCTTGGGTCATGAGCCACTCTTGTGGCTCCCAGTACTGTACACCCTTGGGTCATGAACCACTCTTGTGGCTCCCAGTACAGTACACCCTTGGGTCATGAACCACTCTTGTGGCTCCCAGTACTGTAGACCCTTGGGTCATGAACCACTCTTGTGGCTCCCAGTACTGTAGACCCTTGCGTCATGAACCACTCTTGTGGCTCCCAGTACCGTACACCCTTGGGTCATGAACCACTCTTGTGGCTCCCAGTACTGTAGACCCTTGGGTCATGAACCACTCAAAGCTTCATCTTCACGAAGCCTCTAGTTCAAAAACTAATGTATACGAAACATCTGATTTCGATATTTGAAAATAACTTCATCTTTAAAGTTTAGATAGATAGGTCTGTGACATTTATTGGTATTATGAACATTTAAAATTTTAAAATATAAGTCCAGTACTGTCGTACAGAGCTTAAACCTTAAGGCGTCATAATACTCCCATGTTGTGTGTTTCGTACGGGTGAGAAATTCAATATGGCACTGCCTTACACCCACAGTGGCACCTTCACCAGGAGTGCCGGCCTGTACTCGGCACTTGCCAAACAGTCCAGCCTGTTAAACCTTAAACCTGTGAAGAGGATTACCTTCTCTTTTGACCCACTCAGTGAAAAGGCTATAGTTGTGAGGTAAGAATGGGGTAGACCCACCTCGAGGAGTGTGCAGGCATCACTTGCTGTAGGTTAACTTGGTCTGTTGTGAGGTCAAAGAGGCTGACGCATCCCTTACAGTGTGTGGTGGGAACAATGGTGCACTGCTAAATGTTCCGTTGTTGTCACTAATCATTCTTAGGGGTCAGTGTCCCCAAACTGGAAGCTTTTAATAGTTTAGGTGGGAAATACCTCAGCGGTGGCATCTGTAGGACCACTTGTAGACTGTTTCCCTCACATAAATAGACCAATAAAGTACTAGACACAAGTACGGTATCAGAAAACCTCTCACATCTCAGAAATTTTCTCCATACTTTGAATCTATTTTCAGATCTTGTGTATTACTGTATTTTCATTATTTTAATTCGAATTTTCAACAATGATGTGGCAGTGAGCCAGTCAGTGCCTGTGTCGAATAAATTGATAATTGCCACCTCTGAGCTACATTTGTTTAGCTTCATTGAATTTTCTTTTGCCACTGAATCAGTCTTCCTTTCAAATTTAATTCAGATTGGTTAAGTTTCTTTTAGGGGGTCCGACTAATTACCCAAATGTACCCGCAATGAAGTCAAATAATGGTTCTACATGAATAAATCGGGACTGCCAATCACTTCTCGACTGATGTATGGTGTCACAAACTCACAAAAAATTGGTAAACTTAATTTAATCTGAGTTAATAGATCGAGTGCATGTACCTAACCTAACCTAACCTAACCTCGACTAGTATTTGGTGTCACGAAGTCAAAAAATTGGTAAACTTAATTTAATCTGAGTTAATAGATCAAGTGCATGTACCTAACCTAACCTAACCTAACACAACACAACTCAGATTAAATTAAGTTTATCAATTTTTTGTGACTTTATGACACGAAATAATAATCAAGAAGTGATTCACAGCCAGATTTACGCTTGTACGACCATCATTTGACTTCATTGCGGCTACATTTGGGTAATTACTCACTCCCTCGGTACATGCACTCGATCTATTAACTCAGATTAAAGTAAGTTTTCCAATTTTTTGTGACTTTGTGACACCAAATATTAGTCGAGAAGTGATTAGCAGTCCGATTTATTCATGTAGGACCATTATTTGACTTCATTGCGGCTACATTTTGTTACATTTGGGTAATTAGTCGGACCGATTTTAAGTGGGTTCTTTTAGCCGCTGAAATGGAATGTGGATGATAGACTAATTTTTTATATATGTATAACTAAATACTGTACAGGTGTATGTTTATTTTATGTCTTTTAAAGAAATTAATGGTTCAACGTTTTCCCATTGTTTGTTGGGAATTTGAAACCAGGAATTTTCGTATGTTACTGTAATTTGTGATAATGTCAGGAAAAGCCAATTGGGTATTGAAATTTCTACTTTCTTCACTTTACAGGCACACACTAAACTTTTTTCATTTGGAGAAAGTCCGTGAAAGCAATCTGAAGTGTCTATTGAAGACTACTGTATTGTCAACAAGGGCTGACCCAACTATTGAAGTCAAACTGGGTAGGTTGAATTATAAGAATGAAGTTTGGAGAATGTAGTACGTTTTGTCGTGTAGTATTAACTGTACTGATGTATGCTCAAAATGCCATTAGACCTGTAAAAACTATACTGTGTTCTCTCTTACAAATCTTCGTAACTCATGCCTTAGAAATACCTGTAGTGTGTATACTGTACTTCACCATCTATTGAGCATACAAGCTCTTGTGATAAACAATATTCTCTTATTTCCATACCTTAAATGGGAACACCAAAGGAAAATATATTAGTTACTGCTTTTCAAATTAATATTGGGAGAATTTGTGTTCTCTTTTTTACTTTTTACTTTGTATCAAAGTAGGAGGTCATGCAAGAGGAGAAAGATAAACTATATCCATGGTGCTACACACATTACCATGTTTAAAATATGTATGTATGCTAGGTCACCTCTGAGCTTTTTCCCTTATTGATTTTATACACTGTCAACAAGATCTTATAGTGCTTCACTGGGAATCTTTGCAGGGAGAGCCAGTTAGACCATATTTTTTTTCGTCAATATGACCAACAGTAGACGACAAAGTCAATCCTAACAAAAGGCATCTGTCCATAATAGACGATAACCAAAGTTTGCTATTTCTTCCTCGTTGTAGCTGATTAGTTCTTGGGAAAGAGATCTTCTCCATCACAAATGATTTTTTAAGGGAGAATATGACAAAAGGTTTAAGTCAACATACAGTAAGTCCTGTTTTCAAATAATTCAGTACAAAGTTTATTGGAATGTAAAGGTTTGGTGCCATACCCATCACAAATTATCAAGTCATTTTATCCCATTGTGTGTATGTGGAGTGATACCATCTCAAAGAAGTTTTGAACTGCATTCATGAGGTTGTATAATACTGTGTAGGGTGGTATTCTGAACATCATTGTAGGAAACTACTCACTTCAGGATCAGCAGAGGTGAACCTGGGTCTTAGATTTTATGAATGCTATCTTGTCTGTTCTTATTAGCTTGTGAAATGAGCATCATTAACAAAACTGTCATTCATAATCTTACATGCACTTAAGGTAGTTATCTCTGTAACTGTTATTTTAAGTATTATTCAGTAATTATGTATTCATTTTATTTTTGTGTGTGCTGTAATAATTGTTTTTCCTATATTTCAGTTAATGGTAAAACACTGCTTTTTAAAGCAGTTAATCTTCAGCCCCTTGAAATACTCAAGAAGTTCAATGAGCTAGTAAGCAGCCAAGCTGAAGCTGAGAGTAAGACTGAAGTTTTAACAAAGGGGAAATTAACAAAATCTCAAAAGAAAAAATAGAAAACAGTTGTGATTAGAATTTCTTTGTATATTTTGAACTGTCTGTTTTACGGTCTGTTTTACTCCCGAGAAACATTTTGTTAAGGAACAGTTACATCTCCGAAATCATTGAACAGTAGTCTATTTTTTGTGCTGAGTAATTAATCATGTCGACTCAGGCACAGCGTAAATATGAAGCCACCCTGAGTATTGTCAACAAGGTGTATGACAGTGTTCCCGCCTTCACAGATGTGTTTGATGAAGAATCCTGGTATATATTTGCTGGCTGCTTTACAGCAGCCACCCTTATTCTTACAGTAATTGCATCAAGGTTTATTACTCTGAAGCCTGTAGACTGAGGGAAATGGATTAACAAAGTGAAATATGCCTTGAAAACTTCTCCATATAACTTGTCCAGTTGTTTGTTGTGTAGTGTTCGTCAAACACATTGAAACATTCAACACTCATTGCTGTTGATTAATCACCTTTGTTTTCATTTAGACTGATTTATCACTTCACTCTAGATAGTTATAGGTTATAGTAAAAGGAGGGTAAGATTTAATAGTGACTGATAAATATTCCCTCTCTAAGCCCTTGTAAACAACCCAGATGCCTTGTGTTGAAATTGGTTTATATGAGACATCCACTTGCCATAGACCCTCACACTGAGACAGCCCATCATTTACACAACAGAACTGGGACATTGTCATTACTGTATAGTAATGTTGGGGAGGCATTGGTTGATATGACATTAAAATAACATCTTTTTATTACTTATTATATTTTCTGATATCGGGTCAACGTAATGGCATGCATTTTTAATTATCAATTTTTTTGTCGTAGAACTTGTAGAGTGCGTCTCATGGATTTGGAGATTACATATTGACATGTCTGAAACGTTTCCCTTATTATGCTGTTAAACTCCCCAATGCAGGGTTGCTATTGAAGGCCTTTAGCTTTACCTGTAAAAGTATTCTACAAAATTGTTGGCAAAGGAATACTGTACAGTAGGAAGGGAGTTGTAATCAATAATGAAGAAAACCAGGCAAAAAATAAAAGGCATCAACTTCGTATTGCCTATATTTCACATCCTACTGTTTAGATATTGAATACGAGTTGTTGATTTGGTATACAGTAATAAGTTTCAGCTTAACCAAAGGTAGTATACTGGAAGTATATGAACTTTTAAACAGCAAGAAGTGTTCCCTTATTGAAGAGTTGTGGGTACATTTAAATTTATAATTATGGAATTTTTGAGGTGTCAACACAGTAGGGTGAGGATTGTCTCCTTCCTTGTTGGGGGCTCTTGTAGCCTCCATTCCACCTCTGTACCTGCTCACTCCGACTCCTTTTATTAATTTCTTTCCTCTATTGTTTGAAACCGTGTGCCTCATTTTGCCTGGCTGAAGCTTTTCATCATCATGCAGGCAAATTTTACAGTCAAAATTAGGAAGAAATGGTTATTTAAGAGTGCAAAATGCTGTAGTAGTGTATTTTTCTGTATTTGAAGAAACCAAGTTGAGTGTAGATGTTTCAATACTGTACAGTATTTGTGGCCTAAGGTTTTTACCACATTGGCAGCTACTTTAGATAGGGATCTAACAGTAATTCAGTATGTTCTCCTCACATGGATTCTCTCCACCAGTGTACTGTACATTCGTCTCAAATTATATTTTTAAGTACAATACAATACTGTACAGTATTTGAAATTTGGATTCATGCCTAATATTTGACTGAATATTGCCCAATCTATTCCAAGAATTTTTTTTATTTAACGTGTTACTGTATCCGTCTTGCAAGTCCTTTCCGTATCTTATTGCTGATCACGTTTTTGGTACATGGTAATGTTACCAGGTGTTATTTACATCTTGTCCTAGTTCTTTCAGTAACTTTTTTCTTATGCTAGTTTTTATTCAGCATTTTCCCCATTTATCAGTTTTCTTTGTTGAAATACTTTAAATATTCATACGATCTGTTGAACTTGATATTTTAACCTTCCACTGTCCCTCAACCTGTAACTTCATATACACCGTAAATCCAAAGAAAGATTTAAGAAATATTAGCACTAGTCAGATTTTACAAAGGTTATCCTAGTCACAGGAAAATTCAGGTAACAAATTCTAATACAGTAACTAAGACACTTATGAAAAACACCTTTATTGTGGTAGAAATGTTGCATATCATACAAATAATTTAACAAAGCATGTATTTAACCTTGTTAGGGAAAATTGAGCAATAAAATTTATATATTTTAAGGCAAGATTAGCACAAGGATCAGAATAGGAGTGTGCATTATCTTAAAATTGGTCTTAACATGAGTAAGTGAGCAAAGCAAAAATAGGTCTATTGTTTCTCAAATTGAGACGTGTTCCACTTCAATTACTATGCATGTTAGTTAGGTAATGAACGTGAAAGGTTTCTCAAAACACATTGTTATGAAAGGAAGTACTGAACTTTCTTTACCTTGTTGACTATCAAGACAAAAATGTATCAAGTCTTAGAGTTCACAGGTATTCCTTAACAGAATGTTTAGTGTAGTTCCCAGTCATCACGGTTCTTTCTAGTAAAACCTTGTTATCTTATCTGCGTATTCTTACCCTAATGGAGGAAAATAAATTTCATTGGTTGCTTGTAACCTTTCCTTAAATTTAATTGTTTTATAACTTCACAATACAGGTAACAAAGTTGCAATCAATGTGCTCCCACCTATGAATAGATGAGGACAGAAGATTGCACTGTTATGTTCACCTGTCATATCACAAGAAGGCATATACAGTAGTCTGTGTTATAGAGTCCTTTTTGGGAGAATTTTCTTTAATTAGGAAAGGCTTGCAAAGTGTTAGTGGTACTGCACTTTCATGATCCTATTATTGTAAGGATGAAAAGTCAAGGTTTGAACCAAGGACCAAACACAAATAAGTGCCTCGAGTGTACGGATGGTAGGAGAAAAAGCACCACAGATCTATAACCACCTTAACGATGAAACAATGAAGGCCAGTTCAGCGATGCTGAACAACAAATTTTAAGGTAGCAAAGGCTGGTTTGAGAAATTTATGAAAAGGTACCCGGTAAAGTTGAATAAACTTATTGTAGACACTGTTTATAAACTGGAGATCCAATACTGGGGGGAGAGATTAATTTTTAGGAAAGAATGCCATATTATTTAAGCAAGAAAAAGTTGCTTCAAAGCAGCTAGAAATACTTACTCTTCTAACATGGGGCAACATCACAGGAGACTTTTCCCGAAACAAACGCTTCTCTACCACAAACCAACTTGTTTGTGGACCTATTTGAGTCACTTAATATATAAAATTCATGGAAACCAAAATAAATTAAGGCTAAAATACACCTTATGCTAATAATGCTGGCATATGTTTCAATTTTAATAGACTTTACCAAGTGTACGAAAACAACTGTCATGACCATATCCGTATTGGCCCAGGAAGAGAACAGGAATGAAAGTGATGAATGGGCAAAGTCCTGGTGATTCCAAAATGGCTCACAACAATAGACAGGCACTGTCAACAATTATGGTGATGTCATGACTCATAAATCCTCAACCATCAGTGGAAACTTCTTTCAAATATCTTTTAAGGTATATTGCTTGTAACAACCATACAAAATAATGAATTGGTTAGTCCTGGCCATCGCTGCCAAAGGTCTGACTTTAATACTCGACACTGGGTAGAAAATATACACGAGTCACCCAAGATACAAATGAGGTTATATAAAATAATGGAAGCATTAACGAATAATAAAAAATGTACAAACAACTATACAGTATTAGGTATATAATATATATACAGTACATACATTCTATTATCAAGAACAACAAAGAACAATTACTTTAACTAAAATAACCCTTCACTTGGAAGAAAAATACCGAAAATATACGTCATTTTCACCGGATTGTATTTTAATAAAAACATTACAGTACAGTACTCATGTTATAAAATGATAGAATTATTCAATAACAGCGACACCTTTGTACGAAAATGATGGTCATGCTTCAGCTCTGTAATAGTAGAGGAAGTGCGCTAGTTTCACTCGGCATATGTGTTGAGCAAGTGCAACTGCTGAACTGTGTGGCAAACCAAGATGGTGTACTAAAGTCGGAAGGTTTAGTAACAAGAAGGCGCGTCCATCAACCTCTTGCTCTCGTAGCCTCACTGCATGATGACAGATTGCTGGTTGGCTTGCAACATACTGTTCAACATCATGTACTGTCCATTCTAAGGGGTCAGATGTAACAGTTGCAGGTTCTAAGCCAGAGTTTGTATCGGGATATTCATTTTTTCTGTCCCTTCTCATTTGGTCTTTCCGATCTAAGGGTTCTTCACGGCAACTTGAAGCACTGGATGAAGCCTCTCCTTCGTATTTTTTTTTGACATGTCGCATTTTCATTTGGGTGGCATAATCTGGCAATTTGACTCCTCTAGTCTGCATTTCAAGCCTTGGAAATGCTCTCCTTCGTCGTCTACTGCCAACACCATGTTCTAAGAATGGGCTCGTGGGGCGAGAACTGCGAGAACTTGTGTCACCCTCATCAGAACCACTTCCAACATCATCATCTTCACCCTCTTCAATTTCAGCATCTTCCTCCTCTTCTACATCCTCTGATATGTCATCAGAAGGAGCTGTAAGATAAGTACTACATTCAAAACAATTTCCATTCACTGAAAATTGAAGATCAATAACTTATTCATTCCCATTATTTGAACTCCTAGTTCTACCTCAAAGGAATACACTGTGCTAACATCCAGGACCTTGATATGGCATTAATCAATTACGAGTGTTTCAGAAATTGAGTGTCATACAGTGAATACAAAGGGTTGTTCGTACATCATGGATGCCATTGTATGTATCATTAATTAAACTGCTCTGAATTTTTAATAATCTTAATTTAGTCTTGGGAAAGAGCAAGAAAATAAGACTATAATCAACCCTTGTTAAAAAGAGAGCTCTTTTAATACAGAAGCTACCACAGTTTACATTATCACAAATACACTAACAGGATACAGTTAAAAAAAATATATACATTTTCTAAGTTATCTGTATGAACAGTACTGTATAGTCCTATGGAAAATAATTATCTCAAAGGGTAACCAGCTAGACTGCTAAAAATATTACCAGAAGATCACAATAAAAAAAATTCTAAAGTCATCAGAAAAATTACCAGGTAAAAGGCAATCCAACCTTTATTGTATATAATATCAGAATGCATTTGTAACCATCAGGTGGCTTGTAAAGATTGTGAAGTTATTAAAACCTGCTAGAAAAGATTTAGCAGAATAAGGACACTGGAAATGACACATAATATTCCCATCTGGGAAGTTCTGAATGCTAGTAAGTGTATACCTGTAGTAAAGCTGCCTGTTATCTGATCATCATTCAGTAAAGTAGAATGTACTCAAGCATCTTTAGTCCAGCATGAAAGCAAGTACAGTAGTTTAAATGAATTTTCCATACTTGCATGGTTAGCCACGATCACCTGATGGTGGTAGCTCTGTGCAGCATGGGGATCTACCATCAGGTTATCATGGCTAACCCACAAAGGTAAAGAAAAGGCTCATAAAATGGTGATGATGAGATTAAAATAAGTATAATAAAATAAAAGGAACAATGAACCACATTGGTAGGTTGGATTTTTAGAAAACTTTGTCGAGAGCCTTACTTGTCAGAGTTTTAGTTTGCAGAAGACGATTTGCTCTCACAGGCACAAAAAGACGTTTGCGACCGCCCCTCTTACGCCGATGAATGATTCTTGAAGTTCCTGGACCACCTCGGACCCCCTTATTAATGGAGATTCTACCTCTACCACGAAGACATGTCTGACTACCTTGTATTGACATCTGTTGATATTAAACATTATGCTTCTAGTATTAACAAGACAAGCTGCTCTAGTCACAATAAAAACAAAAAACACTTTAATGAATACATCCTCTCTACTGTATAATAAATAAATACAGTATGGGCTATTTAATTTTCTTCAAGTGTAATTGACAAAGTCCTCAAATTAGGACTGCACCAAGAATCTTATAATTTCTTTAAAACAGTCATAATATTTCAAGAAAAGTAATTTCTGTTATTTCTGGTTACCTCTGCTGGTACAAGGACTAGCACATGGGGTATGATAGCGTTATAGTTTTAACAAGACTGTATGAAGTACAGTAACCCTGTTGTTGTGATCTGACCATTTTTCTTCTTGAACAAAAAAAAAAATTATTTTAGGAATTTAATTAAACTAGTAAACGACATAAAAAATAAATGCTTGAACTGAATTTGTGTTTAGTTTTCCTTGTACCTTTCTTGACAATACTTACTTGAGATGTACAGAGCAATGGGCAATTTTCTCCAGTCAAATTAGATGACCAGAGATTGGGGCAACACTGGAGAGTCTGACAAATGGAGTACAGGAAGTCACTTATGTCACTTGCTGTTGTGGCCACCGGGATATTGGCAGTGTAAGTGTACCTTTTAAATCTGTACAAGAAGAGTAAAAGTAGATATGGCATTTGTACAGTACTCTATGCTGTTTAATTATATTCAAAGTAGTGCTGGTGGAAGATTTTATTAAAAGCGCAATAGGGGTACTTACCCAAACATCAAAGTGAAAATGTGATTTATGTGCAATTCAGACTGGATTAACTTATATTAAATGAAAAATAGAAAATAAAAGCAGGGACTTACTTTGCTTTGAATGGTATGGAGTGCCAGGACGAAGAGACCAGTTGGGGGTCAGGACCATTGCGTCGTTCCAGTTCCCTTAAAACACGTGTGGGTATGTATGCTGCATTGATGGTCATGGACAGTACCTCCCGCAGCACCAACTCCACTGATCCTGGTCCTACACTCTGGGACTGCTTTGCTAGAAAAATAAGTTACCAAGTACCTTTTAAAACAGTCTTTTTATTTTATTTAACTTATAAAACTTTTGAAGTTTCACAGAAATATTGTACCGAGTAGACAAATTTAGCAATTTTTTTTTATGAATAAAGATACAGATTTCATTTATTTTCCAGTACATCACATTACCTTCCCAGCTCTATGAAATTAATAGCTAGTTACCCTGCCCTTAACTGCGAGGCAGAATATTGTTTAGCGTTGTGTTTGTCTGTCTGTCTGTCTCTTTTCCTAAAATAACTCATTTCCGTACTGGTTTGTGAAATTGCACCAAACTTGGTAGGTATAACATGCAGCAGCCTGGTGAATCAGAAACATCTACTGTAGTAGTTTGTTGGAGTACAGTATTGGCACTACATTACTGTATTAATTATTCTTTTTTATTGCAATGGTGTTTCTTTACTCCAATTACTTAAATACCATACTTTTAACCTTTTCTTCAAGTATTAAAGAAAGTAGTTTTTCTTTCACCTAAATAAGCTTCCCTCAAAGTAGCGATACTTTTACTTAAGTAACATTCTCCATTACTTCATCCACCATTGCTTGTACAGTTTGAGTGAAATCGATTCTTGGGAAGTTGGTATAAATGAGGGACACTTGTACATGGGATCCAGAATTTTACCAATTCTATGAAGGAGAGAACACGGTCACTAAGACTATAAAAATAAATACAGTACAGTAATTGGCAAAAAACTTACCAACTTTAGACTTGCTGAGGTAAGGACCAGTGTAGCACCAGTGGTTCACATACAGCCTGGGACACCATAGTGACTTTTGACTTCCTCCTCCACTAGAAACTGCTTCAGTTGTTTGTGAATTATCGCTATTTCTTTCTTGACTTGCTTCCTGAGATTATTTTAAAGCAATACAGTACATATACAGTATACATTTACAAACCACCAGTACAATATAAACATCTTAAAGCAGTAAAAAATTAAAAGATGGGATTACAGTAATTTATATATAATAAAACAGTACCTGCTTTTCAATAAGGATAATACACACAATAATCTTTCCCAAGCACTTAAGAATTTTAAATCTTTGTGTTTTTATGTTGGAGACCTAACTGTACTTCTCAGAGCAATTACATAAAGTCCTGTATGCTGTTTGGAATGTCCCACAAGTTAAATATCTGCCAGCAAATGCCACTACAAGAATGATGAAATTATAATATGAAATATACAAGTACCTCTCTCTCTCTCTCTCTCTCATACACACACAACCACACAGTATGCTCTTCATTTGTCAAATTAAATATTCCACTTCACTTGATAAGTGTGCATTGTATCCACACTGCTCCTAATGGGTCGTTCCGCCTATAGAATTCACTCCCATTTGTTGTTATTTTGACTTTTAACATATCCTAAATTTAATACTGTATGCAAATCATTGGCCGAATATACTCGTACATGCTTCAGAAAATTTGTATCCGAATTCCTCCATTCGCTAAGCTGGTATCGACTGGATATGAAATATGGAACAGACAAGATAGAAAGATGGACAGAATGAAAGACGAAGTTGGCATAATTTTGGAGCAAAAAAACAAAAGCAATATTACCCTTGAAGACACTATCACATATTTCACCCTTAACTCTTCTTATCTACCACTGTAAGTACTGTATACTGCTCTAACATTTATCCCCAAAAAACACGGACAGTTAACATGTAAAAGGAATGAGAGAACCAGTAATGGAGGGTACAATCGTCTTGTCGCCTCTTCTACTAGTCTATGAACCCCGAGATTCAAACTTGTGAAACTGAACTCATCCATAAATGCTTGCTTCTGATTAAAGAGTCAATCTTTGGGTTCATAGAGCAACAGAAGAGGTGACAGAACTTCACAACTGTACATCCGAGATACTGCATTGGAAAAAAATTATTATACAAGTGCTACTCACCATACTAGTGTTCTCAAGACTTCTGGCTAGAGGAGAATATTGCGCTGGTAATTTTAGAGGATAATTGTTTGCTTGGCACCAGCCTGTTGGGAAGATATCTTGACTGGTTGATGCTCGAATTATCGGCTTTGAATCTGGATCTGAATCTAGCTGAATCACCAATAAATGTCCACATGTTTTATTAACTGTAGCTGCACATATCTGATTAGGGGCTGAAGGATTCACTGCTTCTAATTTTAACCCAGGTGAAAAACAAATATCCTCAGAAGACTCAAATTTTTTAAATATTTCACTTTCAGCACATAATGATGTAGACGACCGAAGGTAAGTATCCCAATCAAAGACCGTTTCACTAGGCCAATCTTTAGGTGGTTCTATACTTAAATTATTCTCTTTACAAAAGCCCCAGGGCAGTATTAATGGATCATTTACATATGTAACCCAAGAAATTTCTTCTGAAGTTTCTGAATCAACAGCTATTCTGAAGAAATGAGAATCAATTATTTCTAGCACTTTGCCAACATGAACAGAATACGGCTTGAATGGATGCACCACTTCCAGCAACATTCCAGCAATAAACTGATGAGTGTCAGGACCCAGCGTGGGTGCAAGTAGGGACACCGGCAAAGAGGAGTGTCTTGCATCATCACGACTCAGCTCCAAGAGTGCAGCCCACTCTGCATACTCATATGGTGTTGAAGATGTAGGGTGGCTGTAACTGGTTAAAGTAAAATGTTGAATTAAAATACATGTAAATGGTTCCTGTATTTCTGTTGAAATGTTTCTCCCTACAGTACTGTATTGTATTTCAATAACAAAAATTAAGATACACAAGAAATATTTTCCACTTGCAGTGAAGAATGGCTTTGGTAGTGGGTTCATGGTTGAAATGTCTGGCGAGATCCTCACTGTGGTCATCTCTCAAGTTTTGAAGACGGAGGAAATTTTTTTTTTATACCTCATACAAGACCTTTCCCATTACTGTAAAGTACAAGGTGACTGGAACCAAGCACAGCACACACTTTCCTCTCACTATTTTTTCTTTGTAAATGTCTTGCCTTCTTTTATCCAGTAATATTAAGAGACTGTACATGTGCTTTACTTACTTCCAAAGATGTCCTTGATGATGAATCCAATCAGGAGGGCGTAGACGTGGGTGCTGGTAGAAGAGCCAGAACGTCTCACCAGAGCAATCAGGGGTGTCGTAACGTAGCAGCAGCCGGCCACCCACATTATCCATCACGGTTGCTACCCACCCACACAACGGGTTCCCATCAAATAACACCTGAAAGTCATGCACAAGTCTATTATTGGTTTCTTCATATAAAATGGGATTCCTAATTATGCGGTTCATGATCTCAACACCTAATTAATAAAAACACCTCCACCCACTAATGAACACGAATAATCTTGAAATTTGATTGATGGATACTGCAATCAAATGGTATCCTTCCTCTACTCAAAGACAACAGACAGACAGGTTAAAGCCAGCATATGCTCATTAAACTTTATGGGTGGCTCATATAAACCTCTTGACAACAATAGGAAGGCAACCTGATAATTCTCCCTTGCATAAACAATAATATACAACTATTGATAGAAATGACAAAGGTTTCAAGTCATTAAAGGTATTTAACATTTGAAAACACTCCTGCATACCTCAACCTTCATGCCATGCTTGACGCGGTCCACAGCGGTGTAGCCCTCTACATCCAATGCCTCCTCTGGTACCGATATACCCTCACGCTGTGCTTGTTCTACTGCTTCTTTGGCTTCTTTAATGCTATCTTCATCTACCAACTCAGACATGAGGTCAGATGGCAAGGACAATTGGATATTATGATGACCGCACCAACCTACAGGGTGGAGGCCGCCATGGGCTACCTCACGCCAGCATTCCACATTAACAGAACTCGGAGCTACATATCGCAATCTGCAAAAATAAATATTTGATATAGGAAACCCTGTTATGAAACTAAGGAGAAGTAGTGAGTGACTTGTGAAATCTGATCAGCTAAACATCCTTCATCAGAGTTCATCTATTGTCAAAGGGTTTGTTATGGTGATATATATGCAAGGTTGACAAATGTATAACTTATGAGGCCAGAATAATTGCAATAAATATTTCCATTGTCTTACACAATGTATGAGGATTCTGAAGCTCACTGATACGAAGGAAAAAGAATATGTACAGAACCGTACCTAATTAAAATTTTCTCTAACTATCCAAAAAGATAACACATTGAGCAAGAGGCCTGTTATGACAGACTGGTAAATTCATGAATGCACCTTTTTTTTAAATGTTTCATAATTGGACACCAATTTGTTGGAAACCTGCAAAGTTGCTTATAGAACAAATCAGTTCTTTTTTCCTCAATTATGTCTAAATCATTTAGTATAGAATTTCTTTTAATTCCTTCCTTTATCTTCCTCCATTTTTTCTTCCTTTTCCCTCCTCTTACATTTTCCTTCTTATGCCCAATCTTTTTGTTCTGGTCCTGTATTTACATTTAATGGCCTTCCTGGTTTTCCAGATAAATAGGCTACAAACATTTCATCCCCTGTTGATTGCTATGTATACTGTACTTCCAACAGCTGTTGCTATGAACCCTCAATGCTCAAAATGTTATACTTCTGGTAGTATTTAAAAAACAAAAACAAATCAAACCTGACAAGGAATACAAAACAGTTGATGTTGATAAATATACCTTAACAATGGCCCACATGTGGTAACAACTTTTGCTAGCCAGTATCCAGTTGGCTGTTGTCCTGATGAAGAATGAACCACCTCAACCAGATGATCTTCTAACACACCTGATTCTAAACTCTTCTCCACCTGAAATACATTAAACTGCATTAGAAGATATCAGGTACTGTAGTGTACAACTCAGAAGATGGGTAGAGCACGAGAGGCAGACCTATGTATAGTTCCACATAACTAATCCACTTGCCAATATGTTTGATTTTCCAATGAAATTTGTGTCTATTCAGTCATAAAAATTTGTTAAATATCTCAAGCTCTTAATTTCATCAGCCCGAGTTCTATAAATGTATGTTTCCAACCATGGCTGTTTCATTTCCAAAGAATAAAGGCAGAAGAAGGCAGTCTCAATTTTTTTTTCTACACCAGTGCTACAGTTACTGGTTTCATAATCCTATCGTGCAGACAGAAGCACAGTGATTCAATCTAGCCAGAAATAGTACAGTAGGTATCTAATTATTTGATGTTGTAAAAAAACCCAAATACTTGTCAGAAAAAGAGAAACTAAAATAACTCTACAAAAGACAATATCTTAAAAATTTTATGATACCAAATTAATAGCAAAGGTACTGCAGCTTATGTATCTGATTATATTACTTGAAATAAGGACGATTCTATAATTAGGCTTCAAGTACTTTTTGATAACTTGGTCAGGAGTTGCATGATGATATGGTCTTGGGATCTGACAGCTGTGTCCATAGTGGAGTCAATAACACTAAGAGTTTTGTTAAGACTTCAGCTGGAAGCACACAAGGACATGCTTCACTAACTAAAGAAATACATAACCTCTAAAAGACCTCAATATATTAACAGTTTTACAAAGACTTACGTGTTGAAAGGATGTGGGTGGAACTGCCTCGGTCTGTGTTTCCTCAAGGTATTCTTCCCAGACAAACTCCTCATCTGAAAGTCCAGATACAGTAACCATATACTGTACTACTGTAAACAATTTAAAGTAAACATACACACGGTTGCCTCTGCTTTTACAACTATTATTACATTACAGTACCTCGCACGATCTGACAGGTGAGTTTGCAGTCATGGGTTTTTGTGTCCATGTACCAGTTACTAATACTGTACAGAGTCTCTTACCTGGAACAGATTTGACTGATGAATCTTGTGACACAAGTTTTTCTGTAGACTCAGTTTCCTGGGTGCTGGACAACTGGTTTTCAATTTCTGTGGGTTGATCAGGACATACAGGTAAATGTTCCTCTTCCATCATATCCAACTTTATTCTTCTTAAGATGACGCACAGAAGAAGAATATTGTGTGAAGATCTCTATTCACCTAAAATATAATAACAATGTTACCAATATAGATGGGCATGTCTCTTGAAGCCCTGCTGAAAAATCCAAGGGTCCATAACTTTGTACAGTAGTTAACAGTACACTGGGTAAGGCATCTGGCTGGATATTGACAATTATCTGGCTGGAAAGTTGTCCTATACAGCTGGATAGCCAAATATTGACCCAATTCACAGTACACGGATTTAAAAGGAAAAGAAATTTGCTTCTGCATAAACACTGCACATGTATGGTGTGTACTCTTAAATACTGTGTGCAAACTATCAAAATCAGTGACACAAACCTGACCTAATGATAGTAAAACATTATTGGCAAAGTCTGGACCTTTGACTAATACAGTACAGTACAGGTATATAGATTTTAAGAGTTGCATAGAGTAATATAAAGTTCCTGAATGAGAGGCTCTGGTATACACAATGAGAAAAGAGATAAAGTTTATATTAATTTTTTTGTTTTCAAAAACCTAACCTGGCTTGTCTTAGCCTAACCTAACCTTATGTAATATACCCTATGGTAACATAAAATAGCCTTTAATGACAGCATGAGGACCTTTGTTTCCTGTAAAAGGAAAGATGTACCGGCAGGAGAAAGTTTTGCAGACAGGCGAAGATGGTTTAGATATGTGGAGAGAATTGAGCAGATGAACTGGGCCAACAGAAGCATGATCTATATGAGGAAAGGAGGGAGGAGAATGAGAGGCAGATCAAGAATAACATGGAGAAGGGTTGTAAAAAAGAACATTAGAATTTTGAGCCTCACAAAAGACCACACAGCAGCTAATCTGTGCAAGCGTGGAAAATAGCCAATAAAACTGGATGGTTAGGTTGACTGTACTGTATATGGTTAGTGTTTTCAATGTTAGCTAGGGAGCCTCAAAGAAAACAAATGTATTTTTGTCATTATTCAGTGGGTCAATACAGTACATAAAATTTTGCAAATTCAAATTCATTTATTATGTATAGCAATTATTATTGTCATAAATCACATAACTATCTGGATAAACTTATATTTCGTTTGATATGAACTACAGTATTTATAATGTTATTTTCAAAACCTATATTATGTCACCAGTCCAATCTTGACCATACAACTTAGTTAGTTAGGTCAGGTCAGGTCAGCTTAGCCAGTGCATGCACAGTACTTGCCAACAGTGCATAATAGAGTCAAGAAGGACTGACCAAGCCGATCAGTGGTGAAGAGGATAGAAATAAAATTTAGGTTTGGCTCCATTTTGTTTATCCTATTTCCTTTAGTCATCAAGTTGTTAACCCTTGGAACAGCTACCACATGAGGTAGTTGACTTAAACCTTTAATTTTTTTAAATATGATCACTATATAAAGAAGAGAGAACAAGAGGTGGGAAATGTCTATACAGTGCAGTACAGTTCTAACCTGTGTGTTCTATTGGCAAGTACATTTAAAAAACTAAGAAAAAACTTTAACAGCCTTTTCTATGAAGACCTGTTGAAAATTAAAAATTATTTCTTTCAGGCTTTAATGTTCACATAATAACAGATTTTTTTTTAGCTAAATTTTCTTTGTCATGAATCAACAGATTTAAACGTTTCATGGAGTTCTCATATATATATATATATATATATATATATATATATATATATATATATATATATATATATATATATATATATATATATATATATATATATATATAATTCTTTAGTCTACTCAGTGGCAATATAGTCCAGTGCTTTGTGTTCATTTAGTCTGGCAAACTTAACCTAAAATAGATGCAAATAAACATAATCAGTAAATCATGTAAATTAACACTGCTTCAATATGACCACAGATAATGTAGATACATTATATAACATAGAAAGTACCTGTAAGAAGTCCATTAACCAAACGGATCAAGAGCCATTAAAAGGTAATTTCATTCTCTTATTTACATTATTAACATTTTTCACGAAGTTTCTCTTGTTATATTTGACAAGCAATGAACGAAATACGTTAGTAAAGACTGGTTCCATTTGAAAGCTATTACAACCATAATTAGTAAAGTATCCACAATGAAAGAAATTACAAATATTGTTAGTTAAATGAACTTGAAAGGTTCGACATCGGCCATTAATTTACAAAATACGGAATCTTTTACTTTTGTCTTCAATTATATTTTTCACTGGTAGACTAACTTGACACACATATATACTCACCTTTCACACGCTGAAACTCCCCACAGTATTTCTAGTGGTCACAAATCCAGTAACTACCTGTGGTTGTGACAGTAACTCACTGCAGCAGTAAACACACTCGTCTCGCCAGAACCAATTACCGAGTCTACGAACCCCACGGCCCGAACCCTTATGAAGGAAGTAGTAAACATCTCAAAATATAGTATTAACAACCTAGATTTTTCTTATAATCTACAATATGCTCATTAGTTAAGGCTATTAATATCAACATACAGCTTCCTTACCAAAAAAATTCAGATGTCTGTAATGAAAATTCTTGTGAACATCACAAAGTATAAAAAAAAAATCACAGGTTTCATTGAGGAAGGACTGTCACAGGTCCGGTGTTATCTGAGACCTGACAGAGGAGAACCCAATAATAATAATAATAATAATAATAAAAATAATAAAAATAATAATGATAATAAATACATTAATAATAATATTAAAAATTAAAATTAAAATAAAAAAATAATAAAAATTACAATACTAATAAACAAATAATATTTCAGTAAGGTTGTCATATACTGTAGGTTTACAATTGGATAAACATGTTTACAAACTATGCAGTTGGCCAGTACTTACCGTTACCAACGGTGCTTAAACAGATGTGACCGACCGCCCAAGCTGCTAATGACTAAATGAGCGATCAGTGGCGAAAAGTATAAAAGTTACATAGTTCAACATGAATATAGACAATGTAGGTATACGTAGCACGTAGGCGTACAGTTTGTGCCGAGACAATGCAGGTAAACATACTTGACCAAGGATAGGCGACAAAGCTGTCAGTTTCAATTGTTTATTTCCATGAGCGTCCTTTCCTTATGCTTGGTCTCTTAATCATTAATACTATTAGTGAAAGTTTATTTAATAGTCTGATGAACACAGCAGATCGTGGTTTTGTCCAGTAGTGAACAGGAGGGTGGGTGCACAATCCAGGGTGGGCGTGCAGCAGTTGTGCACAATCCAGGGTGGGCGTGCAGCAGTTGTGCACACTCCAGGGTGGGCGTGCAGCAGTTGTGCACACTCCAGGATGGGCGTGCAGCAGTTGTACACACCAGGATGGGCGTGCAGCAGTTGTGCACACCCCAGGGTGGGCGTGCAGCAGTTGTGTACACCCCAGGGTGGGCGTGCAGCAGTTGTGTACACTCCAGGGTGGGCTGCCAGCGTGCAGCAGTTGTGCACTCCAGGGTGGGCGTGCAGGTGGGCGTGCAGCAGTTGTGTACACCAGGGTGGGCGTGCAGCAGTTGTGTACACTCCAGGGTGGGCGTGCAGCAGTTGTACACCCAGTGGGCGCACACACCCAGGGTGGGCGTGCAGCAGTTGTACACTCCAGGGTGGGCGTGCAGCAGTTGTACACTCCAGGTGCCAGGTGGGCGCAGCAGTTGTGTACACCCAGGGTGCGCAGCAGTTGTGTACACTCCAGCGCAGCAGTTGTACACTCCAGGGTATATCCTGTAGGTGCCCCTCCAGCCAAGGGGTGAGGATGCCCGGCCGATGCCAGGATAAAATAACCAATGCCAGGGTAAAAAGACCAACCGATGCCAAGGAAAAATTCTGACCAGTGCCAGGGTAAAAAGACCGGCCAATGCCTGGGTAAAAAGACCGGCCGATGCCAGGAAAAAGTCCGACCAATGCCAGGATAAAATAACCAATGCCAGGTAAAAAGACCAACCGATGCCACCAGTGCCAAAAATTTTGCCAGGGTAAAAAGACCAATGCCAAGGAAAAATTCTGACCAATAAAAAAGACCGGCCGATGCCAGGGAAAAAAGTCCGACCAATGCCAGGATAAAAATAACCAATGCCAGGGTAAAAAAGACCAACCGATGCCAAGGAAAAAATTCTGACCAGTGCCAGGGTAAAAAAGACCGGCCAATGCCTGGGTAAAAAAGACCGGCCGATGCCAGGGAAAAAAGTCCGACCAATGCCAGGATAAAAATAACCAATGCCAGGGTAAAAAAGACCAACCGATGCCAAGGAAAAAATTCTGACCAGTGCCAGGGTAAAAAAGACCGGCCAATGCCTGGGTAAAAAAGACCGGCCGATGCCAAGGAAAAAAAGTCCGACCAATGCCAGGGAAAAATGACCAACCGATACCAGGGTAAAAAAAGACCGACCTATGCCAGGGTAAAAAAAGACCGACCAATGCCAGAGGAGAAAAGTCCGACCCAGGAGAAAAGTCCACCAATGCCAGGGAGAAAAGTCCGACCAATGCCAGGGAGAAAAGTCCGACCAATGCCAGGGAGAAAAGTCCGACCAATGCCAGGGAGAAAAGTCCGACCAATGCCAGGAGAAAAGTCCGACCAATGCCAGGGAGAAAAGTCCGACCAATGCCAGGGAGAAAAGTCCGACCAATGCCAGGGAGAAAAGTCCGACCAATGCCAGGGAGAAAAACCAATGCCAGGGAGAAAAAGACCAACAGATGCCAGGATAAACAAAAAGGCCGACCGATGCCAGAAAAAAAGCACGGCCACTTGGCACGGGGAATAAAAGATGCCACCTTGACTGGCTCTGGAATAAAGGCACTGTCTTGATCACCGGCAGTAATAACAGTCCACCTTCTCGCCTGGTGCCACCAAAAGCAAATGCACCGCTTTGGCCAATGCCAGAAGAGCTGCCGCAGGAGAAACAAGACGCCATCAGCCGAAGCAAGAGGTCTCCCAGCACCCCCCCCCCCGTTCTCCCAGCTCCTCCCTCCTTCAAGCACCCTTCCCTACCCAGCACCTCCCTTCCTCCCAGAAACCCCCCTTCCTACTAGCTCCCAGCTCCCTCCGCAGCTTTATACCTGCATTTATTCCTACCCGGTACCTACACCCACCCCTGGCCTACAACCTAACCTAACCCATCCTACCCACCTTGTAAATAACTCCCCAGAAGCTAGACCCCTTCACCAGCTACCAGAATACACCAGCCATGCAGAATGTGGAACTGTGCATAAAACTACTAACTATAAAAGTACTGTACACTACATTGCCACTAAAGTGCATAAACTAATGTCAAATCAACTACTAAAACATGAACTAGTAATTATGCACCATATAAACAGTTTACATGCAGTACTATACATTTTATCATACAGTGCGAACACACTTAACTATGCACTACTGCATTATATCTATACACACCGTGCATACCATACACTTGTATACGTGTAGTGGTTATACATGAAATGCTTCTATTCATCAGTAATTGTTCGGTGTCCTTGATGCTACACACCACACACATTATGCCTCACATCTGTACATACATGCAATACGGTCATACATTTATGCACAAAACTGTCATACACTTGCACATACTATACTATTACACACAAAATTTGCACATACGACTCAACATATTGTACACAGTTCACACATGAAGTACCAACATAATATACTGTACACACTTTACATACAGACACTCACTCACTCGCACGCACGCACGCACGAACGCACTTCACATGTAGACAGCTCAGTGTTCAACATAAAACACACATTTACAGTCCTTGGACCTAAAAGTCCTACCTTCATGAAGTGGCTTTTGCAGATTACTTTTTCTTCACCACTTCTCGGATGGGGTCTTGTCCACACGGTTCCCTGCAAGACAAAAACTGCTTTTAGATATTGGTATGATTATAAATGTTTTTTCATATCAATTCTTTTATCAATTTCCCCAACATTTCAAATTAAAAGAAAACCATGAAATATAAAAAAAGGTACCTCATGAATTATATATTATATCACATTTGAGGTATACACTATATTCTATAAAGTCAATTAAACACTTACCTGTAAATGTTTGTACGACTGGGTATTAACCGGACTGAACGTGGTATTCGGCGTGTTTGTACGGCTGGATTTTACCGGACGGAACGTAGTATTCAGCAATGATTGAACGAGTTATGACTTTTCATGGCTTGACTGTAGACCTGTGGTAAGATAGGAGATTAAATGACATATATAGATGGCTGCATTAAGAACAGAAGACACCTGTAATAAACAAAAAGGCATCAGGAATATAAGGTAATTTGTCAAGATCCACCAACATATAAAAATGTTAAACAAATTATTTACAAAGAAACAGTAATATTTATGCTGGGAGACACTAAAAATAATGTTTCTTCGTTATCAAATTAATTAAGTGTTTCAGCTGCAGTATAGGCAACAGTCTCGACTGGTCTGTCCTCGGCATTGTGATTGTTTCCCAAAACCTGAATGAACAAAACTCATTAATATCAGTTCCTGTTACATGCTTTTACTACATATACTTCACTTAAAGGAAGGGAGAAAAGGGCAAACAAAAATCATGTAGATCTGCTATTTCTATTTATATACAGTCTAGCTAAAATCTGAGTAACCGACTAATAATTTCAGTATGTCAGTCAGTCAAAGTAAAAACAATAGGAAATGTAACTAAAAGAGGGGGGGGTGGGCTATAAATATTAAAGTGTTACACTTGGCAAGTACTGGCTCTGTTACACACCGTTGGCAAGTACTGGGCATGTACTGGGTCTGTTACACGCTACTGGCCAAGTACTGAACATGTACTGGGTCTCTGTTACACGCTACTGGCCAAGTACTGGTTCTGTTACACACTTTTGGCAAGTACTGAGCATGTACCGGCTCTGTTACACACTTTTGGCAAGTACTGGGCATGTACTGGCTCTGTTACGCACTTTTGGCAAGTACTGGGCATGTACTGGCTCTGTTACACACTTTTGGCAAGTACTGGGCCATGTGCGACTCTGACACACTATTGCAAGTACTGGCTCTGTTACACACTATTGACAAGTACTGGCTCTGTTACACACTTGGCAAGTACTGGGCATTACCGGCTCTGTTACACTATTGGCAAGTACTGGCTCTGTTACACACTATTGACAAGTACCGGCTCTGTTACACACTATTGGCAAGTACTGAGCATGTACCGGCTCTGTTACACACTATTGACAAGTACTGGGCAAGTACTGGCTCTGTTACACACTTGGCAAGTACTGGGCATGTACCGGCTCTGTTACACACTATTGACAAGTACTGGGCATGTACTGGCTCTGTTACACACTTGGCAAGTACTGAGCATGTACCGGCTCTGTTACACACAATTGGCAAGTACTGAGCATGTACTGGCTCTCATACACACAATTGGCAAGTACTGGCTCTCGGTTACACACTATTGGCAAGTACTGGGCATGTACTGGCTGTTACACTTTTGGAAAGTACTGGGCATATACTGGCTCTCGGTTGCACACTATTGGCAAGTACTGGCTTTCTGTTACACACTATTGGTAAGTACTGGCTCTTTGTTATACACTGTTGGCAAGTACTGGCTCTGTTACACTATTAGTAAGTACTGGCCATGTTGGGGACTAAATGCCCAGAAAATAACATGAATTACCTTCTAAACTCCGACTCAACAATATGGCGTTGCCGGCCTCAGCTTCTGTGACTTAAAACGCCAATATTTCCACTCAATAACATTACCTAACGCTCCTGTCTGATGACTAACAAGTGGCAGGAGAATTTAGGTTGAATATTTAGTCTTTGAATGGTGGGAATCCGTAAGAGATACGATATTTGGACTTAGCTGACGGCCGGTGAGTTGAGTGGTCTGTCGAAGAAAGTAACTCGGAGAAGACTGTCAGTGGTCAGTACAAACTGCCTCCCTCTTGGAGTTCCAAGTTCAGCCTCTCGCTCCGCCACCAACACACACTCACCGAACCATCTCAGAAGCTCGGATCGAAAAAACGTGACGTGGAGCGCGGGAATCGGTCATTTTACTTGTAACATTTATATTAATAATGCCCTGGCGTCCATACACACTTAAACTCGACATTTTACCGAGAGAAATTGCCAAGTTTGTTTAAATAACTAAACTACTGGCTGATTCAATGTTTCGCTCGTGAAGTGATTCTGAACCAGTCGGGGTTGTGGAGAAAAAGGTATGTTGTCAACGATCAATTAACACTCCTCGGTCGGCCTTGATTCCTTTACAGATAGAGAAATTGATATTGTCGATAGGATGGGAATTGGTTGTGCTTGGAAGTCATATTGTCGTTTACAGTTCAGTATCATCACACAACCATGAGTGTAGGTAGAGGTGCGCCTGTCGTCCCCCTCCCACTTCCCTACGTCACTTCAACAACCTTACCTAACGATTAAAAAAAATACTATCATGAGTGGTCGATGACTTCAACATGCAGGAGGGCCCTACACTCCCTCTTCCACCCCTCAGTCTGGACAGTGTGGTGGTTGTATTCAGCATTCATTGTTAAATAGACTAAACATACTAAGTGTTTTTTGTTTTGTTTTATGTCTTTTAGGATTCTTCTCGATATTAAGATTCCATTGTGATGTTCCTCGCTGGTGTTGTCTTATTGGTGACGCTCTTTGACTTTAAAGTTGAAAAATGTTTCTCCCCCCCTCTCGTGGGTTCCGTCAATATTATGTAAAAAAAACTAATCATGTGTGAGGTCAAGGAAGCCACCTGGTCTGCTTGAGAGGAAAGATTCACCGAATCTATCTTCTCGTGGTTAAAATCCTCCACGTTTAGATCATCAGTATGTCATAAAGGCTTTCAAAGTGTACTGCTGCCTCACTTGGAGTACTGCTTGGTCTCCTAGATATACGAAAGACTGTCAGTTGGAGAACATCCCAAGAAGTGTTACCAGTCAGACATCTCATTTACCAAGGACCTCAAAGGGCATTACTCAGTTATGTCATAATATGTGTACTGAACATGTCTGAAGCTCCCGAATGTCCGCCCCAGGAGGAGCCACAGCCTTAAATTAAAGCCACAAGTACAGAAAACTGTCAGAGATAACTGCTTTGTAGTAAGAGAAAGGGTTGTGAACTCTTGGAATAGCCCGCCAGTGAGGTTGTGACGTAACAGTGTGAGCTCATTTAAAACCAGACTTGATCAACACTCAGGAGCCCATCCATGCTGAGGGGGCGAAGAGGATATAACAAGAAATAATCATAATATATGAGATAAAGTAAGTTAGACAGCAAATAAGGTGCAATGTGACTTTGTTTGTAATATTTCTATAACAGTGTTTACAAATTCTTCATCACATTCATTGTTGGTTGACAAATTCTGTGACTGTCACGGCACCAAACCCATTGAAAATAATTGTATCAATAATTTTCATTCGTAAAATGTTTGTAGAAAGCGATCACGTATGTACAGTATTTAAGGACATTTTTAGGAAGGAGTCTCGCATATATGATTTTTCTGAAGACAAAAATTTATTACATTCTAGTGTCATGTCATATATAAAAAAATAAAATTTTCGTCTTTTATAATTAATTATAAGATATATAAAAATACACACATTATTTCTAAATAATCTTTGAGACATTTGATGAAAGTAACCATGTCCAGTGTTGTGTCGTCCACTGTAAAGACTCCAGTTACAATTGTAGTTCGTCTGCAATGATCTACAGATTACAAGTGTAGCTAATAAGGTGATTAAGAGCGAAGTGGAGGACAGAGATGGAAGTGAGTAGTGACTATATAGTAACACAAAGTAATGTTTGAGAATCAACTGGTAGGAATTTGTTAGTATACAATGAAATACTATTAGAACAATATGTGTTATCAACATAGGAAACTGATCATGGATAATAGGTGTTGGTTTATTTTGACGTGCCATAGACCAAATGTAACCGGGATATATGATTAGAATTATAAATGTCATGAGTAAATAAATCGTGCGTAAGTGTGTGTGTAATACTGTGTGTTGGTGTCGAGTACGTCTGTAGACACCTCCCAGACGGTTAGGATGGAGACTCGCGGCTCCCTGGTGCTGGTCTAACCCATCATGGAACTCAGTGTCATTTTGATTATGGTGCCGTTGGTAACCGCACTGGTGGGCCCTTCTTTCCTGAAACTCAAACTGGGCAGCAGAGTAACACTGACAATGGCGCAGTAAGTGTCCGTGGCGGCGGGTTGTGTGGAGTAGCTCATGGTATGTCATGGTGCGCCCTTGACAGTGATGCTGTAAGGATGTGCGGTGGTGGTGTGTATGTAGTGGATGGTGACAGCGGCGATGCAGCAGATGGCCATTGTGGTACAGTCCACGATTCACCCTATGATGGGTCTGAGAGTGCCTCTGATGATGGCCCCGCAGGTGACGCAGGAGTCCAGTGGTCTGGCGCAGGCGGCACACAGGTGGAAGTGGGAGCAAGGCTGGAAGGCCACTTCCACTCGCTCCTTTCCGCACAGCCGACACAGCAGCCGACTCTCTGCCCTTAGCACCTGTTGTCGCAAGTTCTCCACTGTCAGGGGTTAAACAAGTTACGGAATTAATACACACACTGTATACTGATATATGTGTGACATTCATTTGTTTCACCGAAGCTTAAAAGATTGGTTTTGTTTTGCATCTCTCATAACGGAATTTAAAAAGCTTCATTATTACAGATAATGTGTAGATGAACACTGAAGGTGATAGCAGGGGGCTCAGCCTACCTTCTTCCATTAATCTGTTGTGCTCCGAGGAGAGCGGTGGACTGAGCTTGTCCTGGGTGTTGGTGGCTGGACAAAAATTCGTTGATGACTCCACCTGTGGCGAGGATGAAGGTGTGTGGTTCACTACCTGTTGACAAAGGAATGTGTATTAACAAAAGTTAACGATGCTATTTATTACAGAACTGGTAAGTGGTTGGAGAGACTGGTGAATCTCACATATCCCTCCTAACTTGTCTTCCAGTTTGTTTTTGTGTAACTTAGTAGACATTTCAGCTTAATTTGATAACCATTTATTTTTTCATCAACATTTGCTCTTTCATTCACTTTACAAATTAATCTTTATTCTCTATAGCAAGTCAGTAATTGTCTCCTTCATTCTCCTTGACTCCACACTCTAGCCACTCACTCTAGTTCTGTTCTCCTACTTGTTCTTTTACCATGTGTGGGGTGATTTTAAGCTATGGAAAATTGTATTTGCTCTCTGTCCTAAAAATAAATAACACCAATATTGTTCCCGATACTATACACAAATCGTAAAAAATCTTAAAACCTGACAATTTTATGTATTAGGTTCTTTTTGCCTTAACATCTTGTTCACCTCCTGTGTACCAGGTGACTTAAAAGTGATCAGCACTGTACTGTACACTCAGCAAAAACAGTCCTGTCAGTCCTCAGTCCCACATCCATGAACCCTGTGAATCATGAACCTGTGAATCCGAAACATCACACAGTGCGCCATCTATGGAGACAACAAGGTGTGAGGTCTCGGTTTCACTGGTTCATGATTCACTGGTTCATGGATGTGACGGAGGACTGAGGACTGTTTTTGGTGGGTGTACATTTACCTGTGAGGGGAACTGGTTACCGTCATGGCAGGGCTGGTTGGCAGTGATCTTTTTTCGTTGGTCTTCCTCGTAGTCGAACACCATCTCCAGCGCTTCAGTCACCGTGCGACAAAGGATGCCACGATCCTGTAGCCGGTGCCTCATGGCCTCTTGAACCGACACTTGAGACAGACCCATACTAATCACACGCTGAAGAGACAGACACAATGTTAACCTTAACAAGTCTTTCATGATCTGAATAATGTGGACCAATAATTCATGTAGGTTCCATAGTTTTGCTGCATTAGTAGATTTTTTAACCATTATTTCCTTATTACATTTGCTAATTGTTGCAATAACAATAAGTTCGTTTTAAAGGTTTATAAAACCCGGACACAGCACGAGAGGACTAACCTTGGCGATGGGGTGATGAAGCAGGAGCTCTGCCTCTTGGTCAGTGAGGGCAAGTGGGCGGCTTTTGATATCAGGCACCGAGCTGTCTCTCCAGGTGTGGGTGACGGCCTCTGTCTGTTGCATCCTGATGAAGGGGCAGAAGGGGTAGTAGTGGGCGTGATCTGCCAATGGATCATCTCCCTTCCGCCAACTGAAGAGGCCCCCACCACAGTGGAAACACTGGACCCAGTCTGCCAGTCCAGTGGAGAAGAAGCCCGCCTCAACCAGCTGGTCAGGACTTACACCCGCGTCCTGAGGCCAACGCCTGAATGTCTGCAGACGACTGGAGGGAGTATTGAGGTGAGGGTAAGCCAGCCGGTTACTGTCCGCTATCTGCACGGCGTCTGTCAACACAACAATATTTACTAAACATCTCCATAGTGATCTCCTGAATCTAAGTATGGCAATAATAGGTGAAGGCAAAAACACAACTAACTCACTTAACTCTACCAAACCTACAACAACTTAGTGTTAATACACCAGTTACCGGTATAGTCGTAAAGCAACATGAAGACACCCTTAGTTTCCTTCTTCAGACATCTATTTTTGAAGTCATCGAATTAACAAACTGGACACTTCATGTATACTTGTGCGGGGATGTTATTATCTAACTATTAAGTATAAATATTATTGCTATACGTTAGAAAAATGAAAGTGAAAGGGAGACTAAAATTAAACAATTGAGAGTAAATGGTGGATGGTTTGAACTAGAAAAAAATAACTTTTCGGCCAAAAAGTATAGATAATGGCTAATAAAAACGTACTGTACGCGGTGGTGTTATCTCACAAATAACTTTACTCGATAAAATAGTTGGCAACCATTCAAAATCTCACACCTCATGAACAAGCGCTGAAATGGACCTACCTATCTGGAAGCTGGAGGTGGGGTGTTGCGGCCTAGTGTTGGCGAGTCTGTAGGCGTGATACTCGTCCAAGAAACAGTAGAGTCGGCTGGTGTCATTTTCTGGGCTGCAGATGGGCACGTTGCCTGTGGCGCAGCCGGAGATGAAGGGACAGTTGGGGAAGTGTTTGCAGTGCTCCACCTCGGGCTCGTCGCCGGGGTCCCAGTAGCCCACGATGCCCTGACAGAAGACACACTGGACATGGTCGCGCGTCCTCAGGTAGAAGAATCCTGCCTTAGCCAGCTTTTTGGGGTCAATGAAGGGTACCGACCAGTTGTTGAAGGTCTGGCGCCGCACAGACTCCAAAAACAGTTCAGATTGCCAGTGGAACCGACGCTCCTTACGAACCTCCACCTCTGGAACACCAAAATAACCGGACATTATAACAGATCACTCGGTAAAAGTTCGCTGTCTGACTAATGTTTACGTGTTATGTCTGTTGGGATGAAAGCTTTTTAACGATTACACACACACACACACACACACGTCAGAGAGAAGGCAACTTGTTAAGACAGCCACTAAAAGAGACAACACATAATCCTTACAACCTTCCATCTTAGACATAGCCAGTTAAACTAGACAGCTGCCTCGGCCGTCACTCAGCAGATTATAGAGAGGAAGAGTCAGTCATATTAGCAACTCACCTCGCACACCCTGATTCAACACCACGCCGTCAAACTGTAGGTGAGACATCACTTTCTGTAGTAGTTGTAACTCAGGTAAAACACTACTAGAGCTCACTGCTGTACTCAAGGTGACACTGGGAGGTGCTAACCCCAGCGGATACTTAAATACCGTGTAGCCGGCGTAGGTGCTTATCACTGCCTTATCTAGTGACGTCAACTGATAATCTACTAAATTGTAAAATCCCTTTGCTTAATTTGTTTATACAATAAAACCTAATTCAATAAATAACAATAGTAGTCGTAAAACGTCTCTATTGTGTAATTAGATCAACTTTAGTGTGTGTGTTTTGGTTAATACATATGAGTGAGTGATGAGGTTATCTCGCCGTGGTCATCAGTCACCTGGTACAAGCAGGTACCCCTGTACTATAGTAGATACCGGGAGTCGCCTCGCTGTCGGTGGTGTTATGCTTACACTGATTCCATGTGGTCAACTTAGGATCAAAATGGACTTAGATTATATGAAGGATCAACCGTTATTACATTCTCAGGTGGCAGTAGCGGCAACACAGAGATAATCCAAGTCTCTGTCATAATCACTAGTACATTCAAGCCTCCATACATTACTTACCAGTTCAGAAAGTTAAAACACATTGATGAAGTGTTTCTGAGGAAGTTTCATTCTATTAAACTAAAAACGTGAAGGTGTAGATAACTATTGCAATCTGATTCAGTTTTCATGTAAACGGCGAATTAAAACCAAATGAAATACATTATACATAACATAATATTCCACGTATACACCAGATGGTATCTTATCTATAATCTGGCCCTGAATCCCCTATTGTCATGTCTGTAACATGCTCCAACTGCCTCTGATAACTTATCTTGCTTATCTAGTCACATTAATCACATCTGTGATATAAACTCTTATTCTAGTCTTCTAGGATTTCCCTCAATGTGTGATTTACAGTTAAAAAATCTAGTTGAACTTGTAGACACGTTTCAACTTTCCGAAGGTAGCCACCATAAACTTAGATTTCAACGTTACGTAAGATATATTTCCTTGGTATCAGTATATTTACAGTATAAAAATATCCTTAACTAGTTAACTTGAGGTACAACAAAAATAATATCCAAAATGGCATCAAAATATACTCGAGACTCTTGTTCACTTTACACCAGTGAACAAGTGTTTACGGGGTCTTCTTGGTGCTGCATAACATCGTCTGGCGTCACGTGTAGGACCAACGTACAGTAGAGTACTCTCGTGGGTTGACTCCTGTCCCCATAGTAGCATAGTTCGTTGGCCCCAAGTTATAATATAATCTAATTAACCAAACCTAATCTAATTATTTCTAATTGTAACATGTGGCTATTATTTACGATTTAACATTTATAATCTTTTAAATGTTTGATAATCAATAATCTCACGTGGGGGTACTGGTATTAAATGAGCCACACCCCCGCGCCAATACCTACCCTCACGCCCATACCCACCTACGTTCTCACGAAACCCAGTAACTACATGTGAGCGAGTGTTTTCAGTACATGCCAAGGAGGATATTGATATATTGTACCCAACCAACTTTAGTGTCAAGGGAATGTTGGTCTTATCGAAACATATACCCCTACTGAGTCTCAGGTGTCAAGTGGAACAGCTCCCCCCCCCCCTCCCAGGGTGCGTGTGTGTCGGCCCCCACAATGACATATAATCAAATGCTATGTCTTATGTCTTAATAAAGTAAGAATAAGTTAACTTTGTTTTATGGTCTGCCACTTGTCGGGTTGTTAGCCACTTGGGCAAGTACTGGCTCCAGAATATATCTGTACCTACGCCAGTGTTGGTCAAGTCTGTCTTGAATGAGTCTGGCCTTCAAAGAGTTTACAACTCTCGCTCCAAAAAAGTTTGCCCTGACAGTTTTCTGAGCTTGTGGCTTCTTCAACGTTAAGCTGTGTGCTAACTTAACCTAACCTACCCAGATGTCGGTGTTGTTCTAGTATATGGACGTCCTTTAGCATTGAGCAAAAGGTTCATTTCTACATGAGAAACAAACACTTTCTGTCACCTTTCAGATTGCTTCCGTGCGCCATCTGTCATAGAATGTGATGTGCAAACATTATTGGTGTGATTTTCTTCACAGTGGTCACTAAATCTAAATAAGAGGATCGAGAAATATAATGGTTTTACATACAAGAGTCTAGTAAATGCATAAAACACAAAGGTGAGGTGTGCAGTAGTACATCAAGTAGGATATTATGTGCAATACTTTGTAGCGACACAATGACCAGCAGAATAAAACAAAAGGAAACAAAACAGACAGTTAAAGACACAAATGATGACTGGCAAACAAGTAAATATTCAAGAAATCATATCACCTGAACTTCAGCAGAATGATATTGACAAGCAGATAATAATAAAAAAAAAAATATGCCAAGTCAAGATTCACAGACCTCCCAGAGCGCGACCACACCTTGTCAACCCTCCCAGGTGTTATACTGGAAGTTCCCGGGATCGTGGTGGCCCGTGTCAGTGGTCACACCCGAGGCTGAACACGCAGAAGATATTTCTTGTTTCCCGGCCACCTATACTCAGAGCTCGTCAGATGGCCAGGCTATTTGTTTATTATCTGAAATAATCAAGTGAATTATTGTAACTTTTAGTTAGCCCGCCGACCAGGTTTTGTTGTTAGTTGGAATACAGGAACTTTTGTTTTTAAACCAACATCGGGGTACGCCCATCAAGATGACAGCAGGCAATACGAACACACCAAACCATCTTAGGGTAGATTTGATTGGGTTAGGTTACTTGAGGTTAAGTTTGTCAAATTTGGTTGTCATATTGTCTAACACAAAATCATAAAGATACTTTGTGAAGTAGAACTATGTACATATTAATGAACAAGTTCACTCAGGGGTATTACCGAGATTCTCTGCAGTGATAAGTCACCATCGGTATCATTCTCACTACAGTATACCACTTTAATCACCACCACCACCACCACCTGTGTCGTTACCAAGTACAGCGTCCTTGAGGTTCATGCATGAAAAATTGTCCTAAGTGATCAACAAGTTAAACTATTTATTGGAAATTGTTCACTTCAAGACCAGCATTAAGAAGGTTCATTGTTGAATATTTTATAACCACTTATACATCACTTTTCACTTATTACTTATTCGTCACCCAAATTATTTCATAGATTACAAGTTACTCCTGCCTTGGCGAAGCTACTGTCTGACCTTTGTCGCGCCTGCTGCAGTCTAAGTTATCAGAGAAATTTTTTCTCTGGCTCCTTCACCTGAATTTTCACACTATCAGGTTACCTCACTACGTATTTCCCCCTCAACGCCATATTATACCGTAGGATTGTAGTGGATACTCTCCCCTACAATATACTCACTCTCTGGGGTAGATTGCTGGGTAAAATGTCAAAATGTTCTTTATGGTGATGAAGATAAGAAAATAATACGTTACAAAAACAAAGATAAATGAGATAAAAAAATAATACTCCGGATAGAGCAATTAGTATTGTTGTTTGCATTATTCTTTAGTTTGGTCCAACTTTAAACGCTCCAATGTTTGTTTAGTTTCATAACGTATTGACTGTTACATGCGCTTGGTTTAATATGACAGAGTTTGATCTCTCATAATTTCTAATGTTGTTGGGCTAGTGTATTACTAACCTTACTACGCGCTCGTTGATGAAGCGCAATAATAACATTATAACAACTTGTGCAACTTGAGCTAGTAGACACATGTTAGAAGAGTTCCTACTTGATACATGTTTGCTTTACCCTCAAGAAAGTTTTCGTATTAGGAAGGCTCGCTCCAGAAAAGCCCATCGTTACACTAGCCCTCTCCGTCATTTTCTTGTATCAATTTTCTAAGAACTTTAACTTTTCTGAGCACGCCATGTCACGCACTCATACTGTAGAGAACACGTGCGCCAGTCTTTCCGCAGTCGTCAATTGTAAACAGACCGCTCAATGTAAACAAACATCAGATGTATTTAGTAATATCAGCATCAATAAAAATATTTACACTTAAGCAATTTATTAAAAATGCGATACTGAACACATTTTGAATTTAGTTATTTTTCGTGGCTCGATATTTAAATAATATAAATATCCTCTTTATTGAACATAGATCTGGAACTGACCACGGAAATTGGAGCAAACTACAGTAATTATTAGGCGGAAATGGGGGACGCTCTAGAAAAAATTGAAGAGTCGAGGGAAAAAAACGACAGAAACCGGGAAAGTTGACGGAAAAAGTGCATGTGATTTGAGGAAAATTACCACTCATGAACTTATGTTTGAAAATTTAAGCAAATTGATAATAACGCCGAGGAATTCGGATTCAGCCACGAATACTAAGATTCTATTTTTACCGTCAAAAGTAGTTGCCCTATAATTTTGTTGAGCTATGGATGTGTGTAGCAGGTACCAGTGTTCTTTCTCAGACAATGTAAAGTTAGTAAACGACTCTGATAATGCCTAGGACTTATTTGGGATTCAGAGAATTCTGAAAAAAAACTGCAACCTGTGATTAATGCAGTAATCGTCGGGTCTACAGGAAAACGCACTCTACGAGACAGAATCTGTTTCGCGCGACACTTAAAAACCACAAGATGATTCTCCTCAGCTTTCTGCTCCAGGCCTCTGCTTTATTTTCCACACAAGTTTAAATTAGGGCAAGATATTAAGGGTCTGGTTAGTCAGATCTGGTTAAGTTAGGTAAGGTTGGGTCTGGTCTAGGTAGATTTAGTTAGGTATTTATTTTTTTTAACATGTCGAAAAATCTTTACTTTAGTATTTTTCTTCACTTTCGCGACATTTTCACAAGAGGCAAAGGTCAGGAATGAATAAAGCATAAAACCGTTACAACAAATAAGATTAAAGTAAGCCATTTGAAGAGTATAAACCACTGTTTTGCATAACCCACTTTCTTTTTTGTTTACATGGTTATTACTTTAAAAAGAGTTTCTTATATTTAAAAGGTAATGCTCTTAAGACAAGTATAACGACTTGTTCTGGTATTGCACTTATTGTTGGTATTTAAAGTGTTGCACAATACCGGTGGGTCAATTGCTAGCTTGCGGAGTATCATCTGATGTCATTATTTCATTACCATTAGTCAACATATCAAT